AGGAGAACTTGCACAATTGGTGGCTGACTAAATACTTTTTTGCCCCACTGTATGCCAAGACCAATAGGTTGTTGTTATTACTGTATAGTTTTTAAACTGTATTTTAATAGTTATGTTTGAATTATGTTGATTGCTTATCTTTGTGTTTTAATTGTGCACGCTGCTGAGAGTCACATGCATGAGATGGACGGCTGTGCAAATTAAATAAATAAGTACTAGGATAGGCTTAAAGCGGCAACACTGATTTATTTATTATATGCTTATACTGCCACAATCATGCGATTCTTGCCAATTTACAAAGTGCATGAATCATCCACAATAAATATAAGCCATGAAAACAATAATTAAAATAAGTACAGATAAGTTTTCCTATGATGTTCATATTGGATGGGTTTATTCTAATTGTTACTGGCTCATACTCTGTTATGATTTCCATTATTTAGCCTGTACTGCAGTTAGGTATAAGTGCATAATAGATGAAATTATTATCATGCTACATGAATGAGGTAGTCTTGAAAGTAAACCATTTATGACTTTGTAGTTATAACTAGGAAGCTACACCCATAAATATATTGGTAACCAACCCAAGGCCTACAGGACAAATGTAATATGTCAGTGGCATCTTCTGCCAATTAACACACACACCATGTATTTTGTTGCAACTGAGCAATCTTAAAAGATAGCTCCTGATGCAGCATGTCTCAATAATCTCCTTTCAGCTTTTCTCATGTGAAGCTAAACAGATGTAGTGACTGGATAGAAGGAAGCAGATCAGTATGAATATGTGTACAATAGCAAAATAGATATGAAATATGTCATTGTCTTCACTTTTCATAACCTTTGCAGTTTTGTAGAAGACTTAAAAAGTACTTTTCCATTTCTGTATATTTGAAAAACCTTATATGTTTCATAAACACAGTCAAACCTTGTTTTTGCATTTGGGGCATCAACAAGTCCTTTGCAGTCTTCTGTTATGCATATCATCGCCAAAGGTCCTGAATTTTGTTTTTATTTCTCTAGTTATTCTAGTTTGAAAAGAAAAGCATAGCTAATATTGAATCTAAATCTACAGATGTGAACACTTTTACTGCCACTACACTACAAATTGTGTCTGCGCTTTTAAAGAAGGTGTACAGTGCTTAAAGTTTGTTTTAAATTGTATTCCTCAGAAAAGCTGCTGAATGGCTTTTTCTGTTTCCTAGCTTGATTGAGGATGTTTTAGTCTTTTAATATCTTTGATGGAACGCAAATTAAATTTTGGAGCATTTAGAGTAGAAGTGCAAAAATATGATTTAGAACAAAACAGTTGAAACTCTGCTATATCCTCAGAAAACTGAAGGAAATAATTTTTGAAACTTGATGTGAAGTTTTAGAAACAATAACTCATATTGTGTTTTTGTTTTCCAAAACAGCATTAGTAACAGCAGTAGTTCTCAAGGTTTATCCCAGCCTTCAACTCAAACTACACAGTATCTGAGGGCTGACACACCTAACAATGCTACACCAATTACCAGTAAGTGTTAATCTAATTACAGGTTTGCAAACTTTGTGCATTAATCTTTTGTAACCTGGGCACCCACCAGGTATGTAGTCTTTTACTCCAAGAGTTCCCCAAGTATCATGTCCATTGCTGAGGATTCTGGGAATTGAAATTCATACATCTGGAAAACAGCCAAACTTGAGGAAAACTGCTTTATGTTAAAGCTGATTGCTTTGAAAAATAAAACTGATGTTGACTAAGAGGTAAGGAGATAAAAACACTTTGCACTTAAATTTTCAGGGCTACCAGAAAACAGAGATACACATATAATAAACCTTTCTTCTAACTTAAATTAAGGATTCAAGCCATTAATTTGAGAAGCCAGTTTTATTACACTTTCAAAGACAAAACTTCAGATCATATTACCGTTTCATTACCTAGTGATGTTAACACTATTTTTTAACCTGGAGTAAAGCCAGGCAAAGTAACTCACTGAAGGTCTGCCAGAAACACAGATTTATCACACCATTACAGATAGATCTCAGAAGAGCTAAATGTTGGAATTCTTCTTTGTCCTTATGCCACTGGGTTCAGGCAGTTCTTTTTATTGGCATAATTGAAACCACATTGACAGGAAAATAAGCACTTGACCATACTCAAGGAAGCCATTTTAAGTGGACCAGCATTCCACTGATATTTTGAATTTGCTGAAGTGGTATATAAATCATGGTTTGCATTCATGCAGTTAGGGATATTGTTTTATATGTCCATCAAATATATAAAAAAACATTAAAAGTTACCTCCTGAGATTCTTACTAAAGTCTCTGACTAGATTTAAGTCAGATTTTTTGGCCTCTAACTTAAAGGCTAATGAGAAGGGATTTACAGAAAAAGAATACATTGTATAGCAGTGTTATAGTAACTGTGGTACAGAAACTAGATAATGGTACAAGTCAGCAGTTATATGTCTTGTGCTAGTATCTGAGTTCCAGTACCAAATCTCTGATACATCAGTTGTTTTATAAGTTTGTTTTTGATATTGCTGTCTCAAAAGTATTGTGTGAACTAAGCCATTTTTGAAATATGACAAATGCTCTTTGAAATGACTTATTATTTTGTATATGGCTGAATCAGTTAAATCTGTTAGACAATAAGGTGGAATAGTGCTCATTTTCCTTGAATGATCAGATATTGATCTTGAAATAAAGGATGATTATTTCATAATCACAGCTCTTTGAGCTGATGGGAAGAATTGGGGCGTTCCATCAATTTATCTTGCCTGCTGAAGAGAATTTTCAATTAATTTACTGCTATGAATACTTTAGAACATACTTTAGGGTATACTTTAACAGTTTTCATAAATAAGCAAAATCTTTATGAAAACAATTGCTAGAAATTCTAGGAGACATTTTTTTAAAAAACTGGTTATTTTTAAAAGTATATAAAGAAAGGAACAACTTTCATATAACAGTACCTTTTAAAGTCCAGAAGATGGCAGTGTGCCTGCTTTCTTGACTATTAAAATATTGTAAGCATGTGTAGTATTTAGTAATTAGCCAAGAGGTAATTGTTTTATAATGCATCATGGGTTTGGGGTTTGGTTTGGTTTTGGTATTTTGCTCTTCCAGGTGGTTGTATTTTTATATGTTGGGCTTTTAGTTGTACGCTTGCCAGAGTAATTTGTGAGTCGGGTGGCCTATAAATTAAGTAACATAAATAGATATTGCCCAGGAGCATGTATTTTTCTTGCAGTATTAAAAGTGCCATTTTCTTTAAGTTGCAACATATTTTTGTCTCTAATAAATTGTTTAATTAAATTTGCATTACAAGTATTTGCATTTGATATTTATATTGGTATTGTTTGGGTTTGCTGGTTCCTCAGGTTATCCTACTCTACGGATAGAGAAGAATGACCTTAAAAGTGTAACTTTGATGGAGGCAAAGGCTAAAGTGAAGGATATAGCAATATCCAGAGAGAGGATAACACTAAAAGATGTTCTTCAGGAAGGTATTATTAAAAAGTTCTCATACTTTTTGCTACATTTTTTCTCTTTTCATAATTTTCTGTAAATAATTCAGATAGATGCTACTGGTAGTTTTAAGCAAAGCAATTAACCTAAATAACCAAGAAAATGGTCAATTTAAGAAATTGATTTTTAATTGAATTTCATGTTATAACTTGGTTAAACTTGTTCTTTCTTATATTGCATAACCACTGTGCTTTCTCCAGTCCTTTCCCTGTTGCACAGACAGTAACTAACAACCACAAAGTTTTCCCATTGAAACCAGTGTATTCTGAATATGCTTATATCAAAAAATCTATGGAAGGCCTAGAACTTTCCAAAAGCAGAGTGTATTAAAGACATTGGACAGAGTAGGTGACTGGCACAAGATGAAGAAGCAGAGGTCTTTTTGATAGAGAAAATAATCAAATTAAAAATGAACTGCCCTAGAGGATGAGTTAATGAAGGTAAGCATAAAAATACCTTTGATTGCAGCAGTACTGGTGACTGCATCCATGAAGTTTCCTTGAAAACATTATGGAACTGGTTTTCCATTGTCTTCTTCAGGAATTTTTTTAGATTTCCCAATCTAACCAGCATCCCTGGTATTACATATGGTTTCCATATGCAATTTACTAACCAGGACTGACACTGCTTAGATTCCAAAATAAGTCAAAAGTCAACTAGATGCCGCACCCTCTGAGGCTATATCCTTCTTGCTTAATGCTTATGCAAGAGAATTTCCTTGAGTCAGGATCGGTCCAGTATAAATTATGTAATATTAAAATAATATCTATGTTTCACCATGTGTATATGTTTTCAGCGTTACATAATATACAGCCATTGCAGTAGTTTCTGTGTTTGGATATCAGGTCCAAACCATTAATTGTCCATTGATGTTGCTTCTTGAGCTTGAGCCTTCTTGAGACTTGCTCACTTCCTGGCTTTTCTAATCAAATTAATTCAGATATAACAATTTGGTATTTGAGGCAATCAGAGTGCACAATTGGAAGAGCAAGTTAGTCAAATTTTATTAGGTCTTTTGACCAGCAAAATAAAATATAGAAATAAGAACATGAAAATATTAAGTATCAAAGAACTGGCTCAGTGTATGTCATTCAAGTGTCTTCTGATGAGTACAAATAGCAGAAGAAATACAGTTTGCAACTATTGTGTAATCAGACACTCCTGACTTGGTAATAAACAGAAATAATTCATCAGATCTAGATGGGAATTTAATAGTAACAAAAATAATAAAATTTATTCCCTTGCAGGGAAGAATTACAAGGACAGATCCTCTCATTATAAGGGATACCACAATATATTCCCACTAATTATGCCAAAGCCAGTATAAACATTCTTCAATATTTCAAAACTGTAAAATTCTTCAGTGTTGAAATGCATTTTTCCAAACTTTTTCACATCAGATAACTTTAGTGGAGCCAAACTTTTATATAAGAATATCTTGTTAAGTCAGAAATTTGAAACGTTAGGTCAAGAACTGACATCAGTTATGATCAAACCAGACTCCAGTATCAAAATTGCTCTGAAACATACTGAATGCTAGCAACAAAACATAGACTGTACAAAACAGTATTTCTACAAAATGTATGTGCACTTCATATATTTAAAGTGTAGCATATCATAATGATCCTATGACCATCTTGATACTTGTTCTGAGTGTTCCAGGACCTATTAACGTGAAAAGTCATTTCTGGATATTTCTAAATCAGTACCTGCTCAGTTGACTTTTATATTGGTTGTCCAGTTATGAATAATTGGTCTTTTAGAAAATGCCATTACTTTAGTTTTCTGATACTTTAGGTTAGTAGTCATAGGCTAAAGCATGTAATGCAAAGATTCTGACTGGTGTTTTAAGATATTACACCTGCATTATTTGCATATGGTAATACAGTTTAATTATTTATCCATCAATTTGATTTAGTGTGAGTTGGGATGGAAAAGATATCAAATATCTTATTTATAGAAAAGTAAAACAATAATACAGCCTGCTTTACATTGTTCTAAGTGGAAATAGGGGCAGAAATAAGCTCCATTGGAACACCTAACTTGCCAACAAACATGTATCCTTACAGATGAGAAATAAAACTTTCTAATTTATTAAAGATGCTTTAATTGTTTCTAGCTTCTCTCTTGTATTTAAAATACTGCATAAAGAGTTTTTTCCTGTCTTGCAGTATATATTTCAACAAATTGTCATAATATATGCTGTGATCAAATACAGCACACCTTTCCCTAAAAGCAGCCACTATTTCTGCAGTTATATTTCTTATCCAGTAAATCAACCAATTTCAAGCCTAACATATACTTTGCTGATTACTTTCAGTTAACTACTAGATCAGTGATTTCCAGGATCAGTTTGACTTTTTTGTGTGTCTGTGATTCCTAAAACAGAGTGTTTTAGAAGAAGGCTTACTTGCTCTATAAGTTAAAAAAAAAAAAAAAAAGGACTGCAAGGATGGGGCGGGGGGCATGCATCTTTAAAAATTTTAAACAAATCTAGGAGAATAAAATCCCAATCAAGGTTTTGTCATTGGAAGTAGAAATGTTTGATCATGCATGAAACCAGTATCATTTCATGCTTGCTTATAAATGTAGAGGAATGTTCTGTTTGTTCTGATTAAGTCATTTTAAAAATACAATATTTACAGTTTGGAAAATGACTCATTTGTATCTGCCATGATTATAGGAGTGTTCTTAGGAAACTGAACTCTTTGAAACTCTTCAATCCTTTAGTCTGGCCATGAATCTTGCTTAATGGTTTAATGAAATTTAACTAGGATAGTGATGTTCAGTTTATCTGGTGATCTGACTGGTCTTAAAAATTGACTTTAAAAGGTTTCGGCACAGTCTAAACTAGATTGTGTCTCAATAATAATAATTTATTAAATCTCTTTGTGGGGGAGTTGGGCGGTGATATAAATTTTATATATAAATAAATAAAATAAAAAATAAATTTATATGCCGCCTGATTCCCAGCGACTCTGGGCAGTGTTTTAAATTGCAGTTAAGTTGATGCGTTTGATGAGTTCTGCATGTTTTGAAAATAAGGGCTTCACTATAATTGAATCAGTTTCTAAAGTTTATATTGACAGTCTTTTTTTAGTTCCTTCAGATTATACAATAACAAATCAAAATTCAAAGAAGCTTTAGCTGTGAATGTCCTGAGGAGGAGGATCAAATGCTAGTCTTAATTACTTTTCACAGTTGAGCTGTTTGAAGTATGTGCAAGTATTTTTACTTTAATATTTTCCTTCATTTTTCTTATTCTCAGGCACATTTGGTCGAATTTTCCATGGTACTCTAATAGAAGAGAAAGATCCTAGTAAAGAAAAACAAATGTTTGTCAAAACAGTAAAAGGTAAATTTTTAACATTGAATTTTATTCTTGGGCAGCCATGCTTCTGCATCAGCACTCATTCTTAGATGTATCAAAAGAAGCGACCTTTAGGACACTTCTTGTTCAGTTCACAGAAGATTAGATGCTTCCATTCCATTACATAGGTATACATTTCAAGCACATTTTTAAAATCCAACAAAGCAGAAAAGAGGTTGGATTAGTGAATCTGGAAGATTCCCAGTGAACCTTAGAAATAGTGCTTTTATGGGGAAACTATTCCAAATTCTACTGGGAGGTCAGTTTGCAATGTGAGTGATAACAGGTAGAAAGAAAAATGGAAACACATAAAAGATATTAGCTTTGAATAATAAACTGAAACAGATGGTAGCTTGTACTTCTCTAGTTAAAAAAAGAAAAAGGCTAGAATGAAGAAAACTAGGAGGGATCT